ATATATATATATATATATATGTATATACATATATATATATGTATATATAATATATATGTATATATATATGTGTATTTGGGTATATATATATATACATATAATATATATATATATACATATACATATATATAATATATATACATATTATATATATATATATATATATATATATATATATATATATATATATATATATATATATGTGTGTGTGTGTGTGTATTTGGGTACGGATTATAATTCGGCTCTGCTATCAACTTTATTTTAACTATAGATAATTATTATATCACCAAAGACAAACTGTCATCTGGTCGATCCTCACCATCCATCACGATCAGAGGAACGTACACATATATATATATATATATGGTTACGGATTATAATTCGGCTCTGCTATCAACTCTGTTTTAATGTATATATATATGTATATGTATATATATAAAATAAACATACCACATCAATATGACATTTAAACAGAGCAGTCCCTCAATAAACTTTTTCTGCTCGAAACGAATGGACTAACTTCAAAGTGTAGAGCTAATTGTATCATAGTATTAAAAATAGCTTATCAAAGATTAGATAAGGTTTATCTAATCCAACATATATAACTCACATCCGTATCATATCTGATGAAGCTAAAATCCATTATTAGAAATGGTTTGATATGTAAGCTGATAAACCAAGAAAAGAATAATAAATGGGTTCAAGAAATAAATGGCTGAGAGGGAACGAAGTTGCGGAGTGAGCCCATGCAGACAAATTTCTGCAACGCTTTCGTGCCTTTTGCTTCCGAATCGATCATTTTTTTAAAACACTTTTCTTCCTCCGAAGCGTTTCTGCCTCCTTCCGCCGGTCCCTCTCTCTATAAATTTCAAGAGAGCGAGGAGCGCGAAGGAGAGAGAATAGGGGTCGGTCGACAGATCTGGAGAGGGAAGGATTCTTCCGGTGGAGTTTCTCGTAGCGCAATGGGGGTGAAGCCCACCCTCACCTTCCGCTGCAGCAGCGGCCGGCCCCTCTGTCGGTGCAGGCGGTGGCTACTCGAGACCTTCCGCACCCGCCAGGCCGGCCGCCGCAGTGAGGAATTCCGTGTCGGTGAGGCAGTGATTGGTTATCGAGCTTCCTCGAGGCATGTTTTTAGATACAATTATCATTGCTAGTTTTATGATACTATTAGACATACAATAAAAGTATACCGATCTCAATTAAAGTATTTAGTTACACCCAACTGCCTCAAACAAACATCACTGATTGTTCATCTAACTAATTAGATTGTTGATAGTACTTTCTATCGTATGATATCACTTATGATCTACAGAATTTATCTATCTACATTGATTATTGAAACAATATATACATTATCATTAGTGATCAGTGATCATAATGAAATCTCTATCACCCACACTAGTTTCATAATACTTAATTCAATGATATTTTATGTTTACCTCACGTTAAAAGAAACATGATTTCTGTCTCTCAATTTTATAAATAAAATAATATTTTTATTAATTTTTTTCTTTACTTACATGCGAGTATCCCTAATCGGAGACTTGAATAAAGATATTTACAAGTGATCGTCAGCTTTATGATCAACTATTTCGATTGCTGCTTCAATCGATGTGTGATATCATCGCCTTGATCATCTGTTATCTTCTATTCAATAATAATTATTTTTTTGTTACTCTTTTTCTAACTTTCAAATTAAGTAAAGTTATTACTCATTGTGATACTTGTCTTAATAATAAATGTTATAGACTATCTTTTTGAGTATTTTCCATGTTCTAAACTACTTAAATTATTTATTTTAAACTACTAGAATAAAGATATTTACGAGTGATAGTCAACTTCACAAATAACCCAACTATTCCAATTGTTGCTTCAATCGATGTGTGAAATTATCGCCTTAGTCATATGCTATCTTCTATTCAACAATAACTAATTTTTTGTTACTCTCATCTAACTTTTAAATTAAGTAAAATTAATATTCATTGTGATGTTTATCTTAATAATAAAAGTTATATAGACTATTTTTGGAGTATCTTTCATATTCTGTTTTAAACTATTTGAAATTATTTATACTAATGTTTGAAGCCTGATCCCAATCAATTCTTTTAATAATTTCATATTTTATATCTTTTTTTAGATTACTTTACTAAATATATGCTCTTAAACATAAATATAAAATTATAATAGTCTTTACTTGTTTTAGAAAGGTGATCAGAAACTTCTCTTAGTCTACCAACTAAATAGTTTACTTTAATAAAAAATATGAATATCAAGCTCTAACAACTTACCTCTCATCATATGATATATAATATCTCAAGATACCATTGCACACATCTTAACTAATTAGCTCTATCGAATGAAGACATCAATACATAGTTGAAACTAGCCTCACCCTTTTACACCAAGCCTCCATGACACTAATTTTTTGGTCAATAACCTTTTAAACTACGATCTACCTCATTAACTACATACTTATCAAGATCCTATAATACTAGTTATCATTTGAAATATTATTTTATAATAATCTAAATTTTAAAAAAATTAAAATATTTGATTGTTTATGTTGTCCCTAATTATTTCTCTATGTTTCGCATAAGTTAACACCGAGATCTAAGCTTTGCATTGTTATCAAGTACTCCCTTAAACGTAATATTTTTCGATGCTATGATTATTAAACTCAAAAGGTCTTTGTATCATGCTATGTTATGTTATATTATGTTTTTTTTTTGTTAACTTCACCTATTTTTTTCAAAATCTTGCTTCTTTAACAATACGAGCTACTACAATAATAATCCATCACTAAGTACATGTAGTATATTCAAACCTCTTCAAGCACACCTCTCACTATATCAACTAGCCGTTCTTCTCTAGATTTATATTTCCTTATTATTCTAGGTCAACTATACCTCAACCCCTTGATAACTTTTTCATCTATCTCTCCATCAACTCACTCTATGATACTCGATAAAGTGACGCTCTAGATACCACAAATGATGTTTTTGTCTTCTCCTTGACCAAATAATATCAAAGTGCATCAGCTTGATATGGTATATGTTACTAACACTTCACCAATTCTCATACCTTTAATACAATCCAAAAGTACTACTGAGCCTAAACATCACATGATAACATGCTCCAAAATGGTATCTTAAAACTAATTAAATCTTTGATCTTCACGCTACCATAAGCTCTCTACTGGATCTACTGAACTTACAAGCATCACGCAAGCCCAAAAATCTCTACTGGTGCAATGCTATGTGTGAGGATTATGATGCCCTACTTCACAATATCACATAGACCTTTGTACCATCTCACATCATATAAAATGTCATCAGGTATAAATATAAGTAGATCATTCAAATTAAATGAAACCCAGGTAAATCTATTGCTAGATATAAAATATATCTAGTGACAAACGATTTCATCAATTATCAGGTATTGATTTTACATAAATATTCAATTCAGTTATTAAACCAACGATACCTTAACTTCAAGGTCATACATGTGCATGCGCCAAGTTGACTCCAAGGTGCCAGGTCGGTTGCCGCTGTTGGGGTGGTAGCAGAATATTCCCTATCACGATGGATCCCATTGTGTTCTGAAAGAGACCTCAACCTGGTTTGCAACTTGATGCACTACTTCAAATTCTGTTCCGTGTACTCTGTAAGTAGTTGAAATGGTAAGCAAAGGCCGAAAGGTTAGAGGAGGAAGAGAGAGATGAGCAGCTACACTCACATATCAAAAATGCCTGAATCTAGATCTGATCCATTCCAAACAACATCCCAATACCTGCATCACCAGTGGGTGATAAGATCGATATGTTTTTGAGGGATCAAAACAGATTAATTGCAGGTATATATTAGCATACCCTCTACCGTCTTCTCTGTTCTTAACTTCCAGGAGATTACCAACTCCATGGTGTTTAACTCCCGTAATGGAACCTCGGGGCTTCGACAACGTGAGTTGGACGATGCCATTGTCCATCACAACCTGCAAATCCACTTCCGTCAATACACATCGCTCATCAGACTACTACTGGTATTACTGCATACCATTTAAAGAAAGAAAAAGGATAGATTACATGTTGGCCTTCGACGTGCACCATCACAGC